CAGTTGAGTAAAATGTTCCATTCCAGAATAAAATGTTATAGACTGAGAAAGAACAGGAAAGCAAGCAGCAAAAGAACAGCCATATAAAAACAAAATAAAGAGCTCTATAGGGAGATGTGATGGTGATGAAAAGAGTATAAAAAATGAAACCTTTTTTTTCAACCCTGAAACTGATCTCTTGAGCACCACATATAATTCTTCACTGGCTGATCAGAGAAAGCGATAGAGATTTAGAAAAAAACAAAGGTTCTTTAACTGGCAGAGGGGATTTATTCTCCATGTCACTTAGCACTAGCAAAGCATCACAGAACGAATAAGGAGGGAAGGACTCAGAAAAAGCCAGGTTGTGGTTTTCATGAGTAGTAGCAGATCATCCCTTAAAGGTCTCCCTAGCACTGAATAGAAAACTGCTCGCATGCGTGGTGTGTTCATGCTCATGCTCAAGTATGTTCCTTTACAGAATCCTATTTCATTTGACCACGACAACAGGCTCAGCCTAATGAACTGAGAGAAGAGCATCAATGCCAGGACACTCATCACACATGCCTTTACACATATAGAGGCCACCTTACTAGAAGCAAGTAACTTGTTCTCCTTGTCACAATGGCAGCAATCTTCCCAATGAAAAGTTGAATATTAGAACTCTTTATTAGAACCATACATGTTTTTAAGGAGCTCCCTGGGGTGCAGAGAGACCAAGGGGCAAGATGAGACCAAACATCCAAGTGGAAGGAGAACCACATCTGGAGCCGCTGTTTCCATATAGACCACGCCACTGCCCTTTCCACTGCCAGAGGATATACAGAACCCTGGGTAAGTGCTCTGAAAGCATTAGGCTAAAATTTTCAAAAGTACTGGGAGGAAGTTAAATCATAAAATTGGGGGGGGAGGGGTGTTAAAAGATGTAAGCACCAACAGGTGTGTGCATTTGCTAAAGAGACCACTCAACTACTCAATAGCATCAACTCCTAAGAGGCCTGAACATTAGGAGGGGAGGGAGCAACATAACCCAAGGGTTCCCTATAAATAACTCTTAATTGGAATATAAAGAGAAGCGAATGGTGGGAATGCTTCTTTGATTTAGGGGAAAGGTCCTGAAGGGCCATCTTTATCTGAAAGCTTCATAGTAAGGAATTTGACAGCATGACCAAGATTCTTCAGGTGAAGATCTTCTCAAGAGCTCAGAAAATAAAGTAGCTTCTGAAAGAATAGAAGGTGAGATCCTTCAAGGTTAGCAGAGGTGATCTGTTTTCCTCTTGAAATATTTTTTTAATATCCAAAATAAAAATGCATTTCACAGAGAAAAAGACACACAAATTCTTCAAAACTTACAAAAAGATGCTCAAATTCATTTAGAATGGAAGAAATGCATATTTGAGCACTGAAATATTACTTTCACTATCAGATTGGCAAAGATTTCAAAATTGGGTACTTCACAGTGTTGGCCAGGGTGTGGAAGAGCAAACACACTCACCATTGGTGGGAGTGTAAGCTGGTGCAACCCTGCTGGCAGGGAGTAGGGCAATCAGTGATCTTCATTCCCTCTGGCCCAGCAATTCTACTTCAAATAAATTGCTCTACATGACTACATATGCAAAGTCATGTGTATGAAAGGACTGTCCACTGGAGCTTTGTTCATAATAGCAAGTGACTGGAAACAACCTAAATGTCCATCAAGAAAAGACTGATTTAATATGTTTTGGGACACATCCATGCAATGAAATACCATTCAGATATATAAAAGAATATGCTCTGCTTATAACAGTGTGTAACAACATCCAAGTGAAAAAAATCCTGCAAGGTATAGAAGGGTATAGACATATATGTTGTAGCAGTAAGTTGCCTCTGGGTTTAGGGGTCTATATACACTTTTGTACATTTTTTCCAAAAAGATTAGTTACTTTTAAAATGTATTGTAAAGTAACGTGAGAAGTAATTTCCTCACTCTTAGAAAACTAACAAAATAATACTGAAGTAGAGGAAAATTTTAGTTTAAAAGAATGCTCACACAGAAGGAAGAGTTCTGGCTAAATGACTTTTCTGCCTATTCAACACTAAACAATAAAATCCATGCAGTTTTCATCTTTGTTGAGAATATTCATAAAATAGCTGAATTTACTCTTCTGTCTAACTAAGTCCTGTCCAGGGAATATAATGTATTCTTCCTTCGAGCATCTTGCAGTGTCTGGTGCTCATAGTTCTAAACAACACTTTTCAGGACAGGAGATAAAGCTAAACTGATTCTATAGGCATTTTGTAAGAGTTTTGTTGTTCCTCAGAACATAAAAATGGAACTTTTTAAAAAAGTCTTCTGGTTGATGAGGCGTCTAATTAGTCGGATTTCAACTTATTAAAATCCAGCTAACTAGAATCACACAGAACCATAGATTAAGGACAAGCCAGCTTCAACCCCATCTTTGGATATGGTAAGTTAGATTCAAGATGAAGAACAAAGAAATAGATGTCAACATATATTTCCATGTATTATAATCTTGAATGGGTGATAGATAATTTATGAAAACATATGCATTTGGACCAGTTTGAAAACAATATCAAAGTAGTAAATAATAGGTTACTTTTGGTAAATCAATCCTTTAAAAATATTCTATTATGCCTTCCAAGTAAGCCAGAATATTATTAAAATAACCCATCCAAGAAAACATAATTTAAGCATACTATTTTAGAGTAATTTCTTATCAGAAAATATATAATATTTACATTCATTTAGTATTAATTACTTATCAGTCATTCTACAAAGTGCAATAGTTTAACAGGACTTCTGAGAGGGACCCACCTTACATTGAGGCATAAATCATGAACAGGTATTCTCAAAAGGTAAAATTTTATAATATAAAATATGCCATTGACTATGAATGAGATATTGTAAAGATAGAAGCAATCTCTTAAGGAAAGAAAAATCATAAAACCTATAAGCTATTAGCACTTTGGAGGAATGTTGCTCAGAGCATCTGAATGAATAATTAAGTTTTACATTTCTTAAGTCTTCCTTTGAGTACCTAGTTTAGGAACCAGAATATAGTAGTAGCCTCTCAATAAATGTTAACTGGATAAACTGCACATTCTTAATAATAAATGCTTCTTGGATGAAGGAAAAAAAATAGGCCACTTCAGAGACAATTTTTTCAGTTTCCATTCCTAAGTTGCATGAGTCACCAAAGGGCTGTTGGTCAAATTCCCAAAGGAAGGGAGATCATATTTTGCTGATGAGGCATAATTAATATGTACATATGATAGTCCATCTCCTGGGTTTTGGGTAATCAAGATCCCGTATAAATTCTAACATATAAATCACTTAAAAACAAGTAAACTGTAACATCATTTTGTACCACTGTGTTTTGCTGGAACTTATTCTAACAAAATCAAGAATTCCTGTATCTATGAAACAAACTACTGGTTACCAGAGAGGGAAGGGGTTGGGGCTGGTGAAATAGGTGAAAGAGATTAAGAGGTACAGACTTCTAGTTGTAAAATAAGTCATGGGGATGTGCTAGACAGCATAGGGAATATAGTCAATAATATCGTAATAACTTGTATGGTGATAAGTGGCAACTAGACTTATTGTGGCAATCATTTCATAATATGTATACATATTGAATCACTATAATGTACACCTGAATCTGATAGTATACGTCAATTATACATTTAAAAAAAAGAATTCCTACCCGAACAAGTTTTTCTGAATCTCCTCTCCATTTGCTGACAATGGTAGATGCAGAAATGTTAAAGAAGGTTGTTTTACATTCCGTGGCCACAGCTTTGGCCAGTAAAGTCTTTCCTGTCCCTAGAGACACAGTGGAGAAAGTCTGATTGGCATTTGAGCTTCCTTTCTCTGCTTACAGACAGAAGTCAGTGTCACAAACAAAAAAAAAAACAAAAAAAAAAAGGAGAGGGGTTCCTCAGCTCTCATTTGCCCCATTCTGACATCCTGATGTAAGGACAGATGAGTCAGTTCACCCCCTGCATGCACACTTAATACCAAGACCAAACCAGAAATATTCCTTACCTGGAGGGCCATAGAGCAGTAGTCCTTTCCAGGGGGAGAGAATTCCTGTAAACAGCTGTGGGTACTATGGGAACAAGGAACAGGGGTGAGGTTTGGTACCTCTATGTAAGTCACACCCTAGCACAGGCAAGCTGGTGAAGCTGGAGTGAGCACAGCCCAACTCTGAGAGTCAGGTCTTCCATTTAGTAAGGCTGGCTGCTTATGTATCTATCTTATATATCCCAACTTGACTTTCACACTTGATATGAACGTGTGGCTTAATTTATGAGGCTTTTTAAAGAGCAACTGTTTTTAGGGAAAAGAACGGCATATGTAGGTACTCTGCTTCTCCATTACAATGGTTATTTCTTATATGCATAACATCATTCCCCACCCCACCTTACCCCGGCCCTGAGCTCTACATAAAGACCTATCAGATATGAACTTTAAGAGAAACACTAGAACCAACAAATAAAGGTGTATGTGAATAAAGCACAAAACTGTGGTGAGCCTGGCTGGTGTAGCTCAGTGGTAGAGTACCAACCTATGAACCAGGATTCCTGGCCAGGGCACATGCCCAGGTTGCGGGCTTGATCCCCAGTGTGGGGCATGCAAGAGGCAGCCGATTGATGATTCTCTCTTATCATTGATGTTTCAATCTCTCTCTCCCTCTCCCTTCCTCTCTGAAATCAATAAAAATATATTTTAAAAAACAATAACTGGATATCTTTTTAAAAAAAACAACTGGTGAACCTGACATAGAAGTCACGTAGAAGTTAGGAACATCCAATGCAGACGGCATTATGAGGCACGGGCTTCAAATGGGACATGCATGACTTCAGCGAGTCTCTCTCATAGTTCAAATTCAAACAATCTAGAGGGTGGGTAGGGTTGGTAGAAAACAACTAGAAGCAAAAATAATAGTAAAATCGTAACTAGCTATTAGTTTCTTGTTGATGAAATTTCAAAATCTCTATGCCATCACATACAGAGCCTATGATACCATGGAGATAGCACATCCAGAGAGCTTCAATGAGATGTTCTAGCCTGTCCAAAAGCTTTATTCTAGAGCCACTCAGAGGACATGGTGAGTAAAGTTTCACTAATTCTGAGCACCAGTATATTGCTTACCCACCAGTCTTAACACGGGAAATAAAAGGGGGGCGGGGAACACAATCCAAATGTATTGATTTTATCTCATTAGAATAGAAGCATCCAAAAAGCAGGGGCTGCATGGGCTCCGTGGTAAAAATAAATAAGTTATTGAATAAATTTGTAAACATGACTGCAGGAGATTACAGAAAATTATTTGCAGCTCCCTCCACCAATAGGCAAAGTATATTTCTCTACCACTTGAATCTGGACTTTGCCTTGTAATTTTGGCCAATGGGACGTTAGGAAATATAAGAAGAGACTGGAAAATATAAGACTAGCTGATATGAGGAATATAAGAAGAGACATGGGAAATGTGCATGGATTGGGACCTGCCCTTTCTTGCTTCTGTCTGGGACTCTCTGCCACCATGTGAACACCAGCTTGCCTGCTGGAGGCACGTGGAAGGCCTCAGCTGTCCCGTTTATCCCAGATTTCCCAGCCTCTCCATCTTCTCCAACCATTCTGGCTGATGCCCCAGACATGTGAGTGAGGCCAACCAATATCACCTGAAAAAGAGATGGGCCAGCCCAGCTGAGCCCCTTCCAAACTGCATACCCACAAAACTGCAAACAGATAAATGATTATTGTTTCAAAGGCACTGCATTTGGAGAGTGTGTCTATTATACAAAAGCTGTCATACACTGACCTTCTCATCACCATGTTTATAACCAAACATAGAGAGTCTTGTTTTTTCTTTTTCTTCCTGTTCAGTGAGCCACTCCGTACAATGACTTGTCAGCAGCAAGCAATAAGCACAACAGGCTGGCTCACTGGCCAGTGCCCTGGAGGGAGCTGCCTAGTCTTTACAACCAGTCAAAAGCAACGCCTCAAAGGATGGGTGTGTGTGTGTGTGTGTGTCGGGAAATATAGATCTATGAAAACAAAATAAGTGGCCCTCTCCTACAGGAGATATTTCTACTATGGTATATTTTTAGGGAAGCAGACTAATTTGAACCAATCTACAGGAACTGACAAGTAATATATGCTTCAGTCTTAGATCTAATATTATCACTTAGAGCAGATACCTGCCTTGAAACCTCGTGTAACATTTCAAACTGCCTAGAATGGCATGGGCCTTGGTAGTCCAGCATTGCCAAAGTATAGGCAAAAGGCTAACTTGTGGACAGAAAACATCCTGGGCTTCTCTCCCTAACGGGTGTTATGACATACAGCTTATCCAATGGATATGAATAGAAATACCCCCCAAGAGGCTTCCCATCCTTACCTTTATAGGATACACCACAGCTTCTTTGACTAACTGCTTGGCTGCATCGAGTCCAATAATGTCATCCCACTTTATGTTTGGATTATGGAGATAAATGTCCTGCAATGCACATTTTATCATTTTGTTAAAACTAATGTTTTCCTCCACAGCTGCAATAAACATGGGAGCCACAGAATACTTGACTTACAATAGGACATAAAGAGCTGGTGATAAAAAAAGTTTATGTTAGATATATGTATATATGCACACTGTAATTTTGGTTCACCAAAGGGATGCCATAAGAATATTCAGTGATTTTTCCTGAAGAAGACATTGATTATATAATATGGGGGAAGGGGAGCTCCTAACAATGGACTATACCCGTCTTCAGTTAATAGCAAACCAGGCTGATTTATGACTGTAATCAAAGAAGCTACAGAACATGCCTTCAAATTACATGCACTTTTTACTGTGAAACATAGTTCCTAGCTGGTGCCTGGCCTCTCTCTTGCTCCTTGATCTCACAAACACTTTCTTAATTTGTTGCATGAAAGAGATAATGCTCCTCTGAAACCAATTTCTCTTTTTCCCTAGTGATCACTCCCTACTTCCACCAAGAGCAATTGCTTCTACAGAATTCAAGGAAGCCAACAACCAAGCAAAAGTGAGTTTTCCCCTTTTATAGTAGAGCCCTGTAGCAGCCACCTAGGTTAATCAATTAAGGTAGCTTTTACTGATAACTCATTTACCGTTTCCAAATTCCAATTTCACAAGACGCCTCAGAACTGTCATTCAAGGGCCTTTCTCAGTAGGAGCTGCTTCAGGCAAACTGAATATCTAGAGTGTTACATTAAAAATAGAGAAAAGCCTCCTTTCCAAAGTCATTCTGAGGATTACGCAGCAATCTGGAAACTATTTTTATAGTTATTTAATTTTTAAATAAGTAATACATGCACAAGCTCAAAAACATAAAAACATATTTTTTTAAATGCTGGTGAGATGTTATGCTCCCACTCCTGTCTTCTGTCCTCCCAGGTCCCTTCACCCACAGGTAAGGACTTTCATTAGAGAAACTATTCATACAAGTGTTTCTGGTCATGCATGATATGCATGATCCATTCCTGGATGGGGACACAGAGAAAGGACTCAGTCTCCCAAGATCTTGGGAGAACCTACCAGGTATTTAAAGCTTGGACCTGCATGCCCACCAGCCACTCACAGATCTCGCCCTCTTCTAAAGTTGACATTGAGGTCCACATGGAGGTGTTTAATTTCCCAACAGAAGTTTTTCCTTACAGCAATCAAGTGTTATTAGTTAGAACTCAACAGGTTTACCTCACGAAGTGGTGAGCTCCGCGTCATGAAAGCATTCAGAGGCTGATGACTGCTTCCCATGGTACTGTAGGAAGGATTCCAGATGGAACCCTTTCAGGACACTTCCACTCTACAACTCTATAATCACTAGTCATGTTATCCTTTTGCAAAAACAATAATGAGACTATTGATTTTTGTGACCATAAAAAATATTTTTCTCTACTCTCTTATGCATCCCAATTACCACAGTCTGGCCCAATCCCTCATCCTCTCTCACTAGTAATAACTTCAGAGTTGGTCTCCCTATCTCCATTTCTTTGATATCCATTCAGCAAACTGTAAACAGAACAAGCTATCTATAAGCACATTTGAATACCCCAGTCTCAATGGACACCTTTGAAAGGCTCCCCACCTGCTGCAGGCAGGTCCTCCACCTGGGCCCTGTTCACTGGGCCCTTACTCAGGAACCCTGGCCTCTCTCTCCAGCCCCATTTCCCAGCACTCCTTGCGTCTTACATTGCTCACTGGAAACACTGCTTAACCAATACAATTTCACAGGTACGTTCCTTTGCCCAGAAAGTTCCCCACCATCCGTCTTGTACTTATTTCCTGGATACTTCTTCCCTAACACTTCCCCTCCCTTTGGCACAAAACACTCCTCCGTTTTATGCTTTCGCAGTCCCCCTTCTGCTGGGATGAGAAACGCTTGCACGCAAGGACTGTGTGGTTGGGTCACCTTTGCATTTCCAGCCCCTGCTCATGCCTGACACATAGTAGTCATGCAGCAAACAACTGCTGAACTGAAAGAGAGCTGAGCTGCAGACGCTGAATTACTCAGTCACAGTGCAGCTTTTTGCACCATTTTAAACATCTGTCGGAGCCTGCCTAGATTTCAGTCTTCCATGAAGTTAGAGAAAGTCTGCTATAACTCAGGAATCTCTTCTGTTCCCAAGGAACTTGCCCAAAGTCACACAGCTAGGAAAAGGAGGATTTAGACATCAAATCCAGCTGATCCAATTCCAGAGCCTCTGTCATTTACCAAAAGACTTCCCTGCCTTTAGATTCTGGGGTGCAGGCAGCCTTGAAAACTCGGTAATCTGGATAGTAAGCTCTTTCCTACTAATCTTGTATTTCATGGAAATTTCCGCTTGTGAAATCATCAGACTCCTGACATCTCTATTTCCAGGCTTTGACTGTTTAAACAAGATGCAGACATGCTCTTTCTTTCTCTAAGAGGCTTTCTTTCTTTAACTCTTGGCTCAGCCTAAAACCTTTCACCTGTCTGTCCCTTACTTTCTAAGTCTTTTTGGTTTTCTTGGCCTCTATAGTGAGATGGTGGGCTTTTTATATTGTAATTTTATGATTCTATAATTTATTTATCATGCATTATTGTGCCTCTAAACAATATGAGTGCCTTTGCAAGTGGGGGCACTTTATAAATAAATGATCATATTTATTGTTATTAATAAAAGAAGCAGCCCACAATGCTCCAGGAGCTCCAATCCACCTCTGTAAATTGTGAATTGAATATCTGATCTTACCCGGCTCACCACAGCTGCCAGTTCTCGCATCTCACTGTTCATGCCAATAAATGCACTCAGAGGTTTCAGCAGTCGTTCCTGATGATGGGAGCAAAACACCTCATGTTATAACATTGCTTCATAATTTAGGAAGAAAAAGAGGGCATGGATCACAATGACACAAATGGTGGTGGATTGCTATGACCTTCTACCCAATCTCAAGGTTTCTTTGACTCAAAATTATATCTCTAAAGTCCTTCTGGACTTTGGCAGTTTACAGGATGAATGACACATGTTAGCCACTTACTGCAGGGTCCGGGTCACACTCAAAGCTGTTCGAGCCGAGTTCGCTGGTTGCTCCTTTGATAGCGTCTGTGAGCAGCCCTTGGAAGTCAATGATTTGGCCCTGAAAGGGAGTAATGGTTTATTTACACCATTAAACCTTGAGGGAAGACTATCCTTAATAGCTCGGCACCATTAAACCAGGACACATTAATGTTCCTTGGTGTGTAGGCCAAACTGAAAGTGAAGCTTTAAAATAACCTGCACTAATAATGAACAAGGTAATTTCCTGAAGTGAGGGCACTCTAGAAAAAAAAAACCAAGTTGTAAATAAATTCTTCAGAATGAAGTTGGTTTAAGTGGAAATTCACAAGCATTTTTCAGTTCCTGACACAGACCATCTGCTTCCTTACATGTCTATTTCCCTATACTGTCTCCTCCTTTTGGAACATTACACACACAGGAAAGACTCATTGGCCCAAAAGTAATGATAGTTCCTATTTACTATGGACTTTCTCAGTAGAGTACCTGGCACAAAGCTACCTTGCAAGGATTATTTCATTTTTAAAAAATTTTAAATATTTTTCAATTACAGTTTATATTCAATATTATTTTGTATTAATTTCAGGTGTATAATATAGTGGTTAGGCAATGATATACTTTACAAAGTGTTCCCCTCTTCTCCCCCATATTTCCAGTACCCACATGGCATTATACATAGTTATTACAATACTAGAGGCCCAGTGCACAAAATTCATGCACAGGTAGGGTCCCTAGGCCTAGGGCCTTCTTTCATTCCACACCGCCTCCTGGTGGTCAACACACATCATAGTGAGCAATTGAACTGGTCTCCAAGTCAAACTCCTGGTCTCCCTATAGAACTCCCAAGGGGACACTTTGCATATTAGCCTTTTATATATTTAGATTATTGACTATTTTCCTATTCTGTACTTTACATCCCCATGACTATTTTGTTTTGTTTTGTTTTTTTTTTTAATTAAATCTTTATTGTTCAGATTATTACATTTGTTCCTCTTTTTTACCCCCATAATTTCCCTCCTCCCAGTTCCCACCCCACCCCTGCCCTCACTCCCCACCCACTGTCCTCATCCATAGGTGCACGATTTTTGTCCAGTATCTTCCCGCATCTCCCACACCCCTTTCCCCCACAAGAATAGTCAGTCCATTCCCTTTCTATGTCCCTGATTCTATTATAATCACCAGTACATTCTGTTCATCAGATTATTTATTCACTTGATTCTTAGATTCACTTGTTGATAGATGCGTATTTGTTGTTCATAATTTGTATCTTTACCTTTTTCTTCCTCTTCCTCTTCTTATAGGATACCTTTCAGCATTTCATATAATCCTGGTTTGGTGGTGATGAACTCCTTTAGCTTTTCCTTATCTGTGAAGCTCTTTATCTGACCTTCACTTCTGAATGATAGCTTTGCTGGATAAAGTAATCTTGGTTGTAGGTTCTTGGCA